TGCATTATTCTAGGAAGCACCAAGTACTTCGAATCATGTAACTTTCTTTATTCTGGCATCGTTGGAAATGTTGTTCACATTTGTTTTTGAAGTTTTCTGCTATGGAAATGGGCTCCCAGAATGATTCGTATTTGCCACGCGCTCTGCCTCTGACATGTTCCATCCAGGACCAGCGAGGTGTACATTTCCTTTTGGGATTTTATTTATAGAGACCTTCTTTTAAAAGCAGCTGGGTGCAGGCAGGGCGGGGTGCTAAACACCTCCCTCTCCTACATGCCATTCCCCCAGAGCGCCGCGGATGGAGCCTGTCAGAGACCCGGGGAGAGAAGGAGGGGATCCACACAAGAGTTTGGCTGCAGCAACGGCCTCGCCAGCGACGAGCGTTCAGGGTTTGCTCGATTCGCTTGTTTGGAATGAGCTGCAGTTGCGCCCCACGTCCTTTGGTTCTGATCGGATGCTCCCTCTGTTCTGTGCAACTAATATTTGTGTTGCTTTGAATGCAGTTGGCCAAGGAACACCAGCTCTGGGGCTCTTCTGCTCTGCAGATTCCCCAAAACAGGGATGGCACCCAGGCAGTTATATATATCCAGGTGCGGGTGGGAGGAGAGATTATATGACTTTCCTTACGCAAGAAAATATGACTTTGGCCCGGGGTGGTGCGGTCTTTTTAATTGCATTTGCTTCCCTTTATTCTGTGGGACTCCCCCATCCCCCAGTAACGGCAATTAAGTTATTCCCGTTTCAGTTACACATTCCTTGGGGATTTGATCCATTTAATTTTACTCCTGGTAGACCACATTGCAAATGCCTAGCCCTTTCCCGCCTGGTTTCAAAAGGATTTGAGGAAAGTCCACGTATCCCAGCACAAGCGCCAAACTGATTCTCAGAACCCCGCTGGCCTGACCCATTTCATGGCTCCTGAGACTGAGGCCAGAGACCTTAACATCTAAGCACAGCATTAGCCAGTAATAACGGGCTCTTAGTTTGGGGGCCATAATCAAAAACGTCGTCCTTCTTGTAAAGGTGTTTGTTGTAAACGTTACAGAAGAAGGTTAATGCTGCGTATCTGAACAAAGCTGCTATTTCATGAGCATCACTTGGAGAAAGAAATGTCAGGAACCTGGTCGCCATAGTAGCTTGGGGATTATTCATGGCCAGGTTGTCGCCGTTGCTCAGCAAACAGGCAACACTGCCAAGGAGTCATCAGTCCTCAGGGTTTTGCCTCTTAACTCTCCTGCTGTGCCCCAAATGGATAAAATGACCCAAATATTTGGCCCCACCCACTCTAGGACTCTTGGGTCATACAACATATATTGGGGGAGGGGTTGCATGCAGCCCCCACTCCCATTTTTGTGCCCCGCGGAAAGTACTTTTCTTTTAAAAAATATATGTGCAATAGCATTGCATCCCCCAGATTATATTATATATAGACTATCTCTACAAAACCCACTGAATTAGATAAGGAGCCACAGGCCACCCCCTA